TTTAAATGATCCCAAACAAGCCACCAGCTGACTGGTTTGGATCTCTGGACTCCTCAATTACCAAATTCCTTTGGCAGGATAAACCTCCACGAATTAGCTTAAAAATGCTTCACAAGACCAAAGACAAAGGAGGACTGGATCTACCCAACTTTCATTATTATTTCTTAGCCAACAGGCTGCAATATATACCAAGATGGTTGCAGGATAACCCACTGGATGAGTCTTGGTTAGACATAGAACAGACACTTTGCAATACGATAGAGCTTTCAGACTTACCATTTATTAGCTCAAGCATAAGAAAACATGAAGGCTTCAAAAGTATTAGTATCAGCACCTCTCTGGCAGCATGGTGGGAGTATCTAAAAATGGCAGCGTCTTCACTAATATCATGCACCTATCTGGAATAATCATGATATTTTTCAAAAAAACAAAATGATGAACCTTCCGGACTGGAAAAATAAAGGAATTCTATATGTGGAACGCATATGAAGGATTGGACTTCATCCCATTTAATAGAATAGTCTCCCAATTTGGAATAGATAAGAATAGCTTTTAAGAATATCACCAAATTAAATCTGTAGTCAAACAAAAATTTAAGCTCAATAAAATAGAATTACAAACACCACCAAGGGTATTAGACTTCTATAAACTCAACCCCCCCAAACTACTATCTAAAGTATATAAGACACTGTCTTAAATAGACGATAGAATAGCAATCCCTATTGAAAAATGGGAGGTGGATCAATCAGTCAGCTTTGACCAGAACTTCTGGTCCCAAACTTGTTTAAAAACTTTTAAAATGATCAGATAACCCAGTTTACAATTAATTCAGTACAAAAAATTCTACAGAGAGTACACTATACAGGTCATGGGATGTTCAAGATGGGGGATCTGGGCGGGGCCTTGGGGGTCGGGTCCTGACATGGATGCTTTTGGGATGAAGGCAGGAACATGCAGCAGTGCCTGGCCTGGGTTCAGGGGCCTCAGATAGACCTTGGCTCCTCTCCTGTCCCATCAAAGCGGAGGGGGAATTCCAGGAGGGGGTGGGCTCAACCATACCTGGATGTCCTATGTAATATAATCTGGAAGTTGTGCAAATGCAGGGATGGGTGTAGATATTCTGCTGGGGTGGTGCTGGGTTGGTGCCCTTGGACTCTGTGAGGCTCTGTGATGCTGCTGCTTTGGGCCCGGGCAGGATGGCCTTGGGTCTCCAAGCCCTGGGTGGCATTTGACAACAGAGGTGCCTATTGGAGCCAGTGGTGGAGCTGGCTTCCTGGAGGGTTAAGCCCAACCAGCCATTCCTCCCCATCCCCACACATTTCTCTCCTCTTGCTCCCTCACATAATGACACAAACATGCACATAGGACCTCGGGAGGTGGACAAGTCAGGGAGTGCGGGACCCCCCGATTTTATTTGCACATTAAACATTTCCACCAACGACATGCCATGCAAACATACACTTAGGGCCTTGGGAGTGAGCACATTCAACGGCAGATGGCAGGGGGATTTCTCAGCCTCATCCCAAGTGCTGGTGCCCACTTCCAATTTTAAACTGCACTTAGACACTAAGGCCTGTGGGTGCAAGTGGGGTGGTATGGTGGCATAGGCCAGATGATGTCCGCGCTGCCCGCTCACCACAGCCATGGAATACACCTCATCAACACTCACTAACACCATATTGGAGCAGGTGGAGGGAGACTAAGGGTCTTAGCACACCTCTGTTGTCGCATGTCTTCCTGGGGCTGGAGGCTAGGAGGGAGATCCGGCCGTCCGGTTGGGGTCTGGGGTGGTGGGTTGCTGTGCTCAGCGTTTGGTGGGGGAGCCTGCTCATCAGCACCCCAGCAGAAAGGGTTGAACTCTGGGAACCGGTAATGGTTGTACCCCATGTGCAGCAGTACCGGGACCAGAGTGAATAGGGTGTGTATGGGGAGCTGCGTGGGTTTCTGGCGTGCATTTTTGTAAGTCTTTGGTTTATGTGCATGTGTGAGCATGAGGGAGAGAGTGTGTGACTGTGTTTGTGTATGACTGTATATATCAGGTGGGGCCTTTGACTTCTCCCTTCTCCTGAGATTTCTTATGATTATATAGATCTTCATCTCCCCTCTCCCTGCCACACCTGGTGTGGTGTGTGGTGCCTTGGTCTGCCTGAGTCGTGGCTCCCGGGTCAGGGGGTTTAAGATTTTTGGCGTCTGCCTAACCAATCCCGGTGGCTGCCTTGTGGGGTCTGGGTCCCTGGGCTCTGCTTGGTCCCTGGCAGGGGTGGTCGCCCCTGGGTCCCGGGTGGCTGGGTCCCGGGCTCGGCCGGCTAGGGGGTGGGAGGCTGCGGGCGGGCCTGTGGGCTTGCCGCCGATATCTCCCGGGACTCTGCTGGCTGCTTGTTGTGGCCCCCCGGGGCGATCCTCTGCGCCTCTCGAGGGGAGCGAGGGCTTTTCTGGTCACAGTGTTCCTGGGGTTCCTGTGCTCTGGGGCAGCTTCAGAATCAAAAAGCATTCAAAAACAATAACAATAAAGTTTTAAGTATCAGGCGTGACATTACAAGCAGACACTTTGATGCTCCACCTGAGAGTAAATCTGTAAGGCTTGTCACCAGCAGTCAGACATCAATTCTGTTTGCTTCACAGCCAGAAAGAACAAGGGGGGTTGACAAGTAATTAAAATTGTGCCCACATCTTCTGAGTTAACGCACATTTCTTTTAATAATGGTATTTTTTGCATCTTTACTGTTCCCCTGCACAGCGACTGCAAATTCACCGATGCACCTGCAGCCTCTTAGAGTTCCTGCAGCTCTAAACATCAAAACAATTTAATTTTCTGTTCCTCACTTCTGATTACCTTCAATGGTGTCTGTTTGTTGCAACCACCAGATACAAAAATGAACTTGTTTTTATTTTACTATTTTTCTGTACTGTCTGTCCATTATCTTCCTGCATCTCCTCTCAGTCCTAAAGACAAACTGCTACCTGGCTTCATTTTTTTTTCACCTTATGAGTTACCTTTGAACTGCAGTTCAAAAAGATCTACCGACCGCAAATATAGCTGACCGCACCTGTGAGGCGGTCACTGGAGGACGAAACAGGTGATGTGCTCCGCAGCAGGGAAACACATCAGACACAAATAAAAGATAGAAAGCATAAAAGGATATGAGCAGACATAAGTGATTGCGTGTTAAATTTGTTTTTGAGTTGATGACACTTTGAAAAAGTTACTGTGGTCGTGCTGAGGACGCGTCTGTCTGGAGCGCATCAACGATCAGAGCTCTGCATCTCTAAGCTCTTGATAATCCCTGGAGAGTCCACATGAATAATGTAATACAAGTTGAACCAGGATCTTTTTGGGCTCCCCCTGGGTGTGTTGAGGGCTAGGAGCTCCCTAGCTCACCCGTAATTTGAATCCTGCGTATAGCACAAGTTTGTTGCATGAGTTGCCGGATCCTAGCAGACTGTTGCCAGAACGGTCCTTTCAAAATAAGATGGATCCCGGATCTTGTTCCGGCAAGATCCGGCTTAAATTAAGCACTGGGTTCACTTGTGTTCAAGTTAAAGTCCCATAGTCATCATCACACACTGAAGAAGAAGAAGAAAATATCATTTCTATAGCGCCTCTCAAGATAAAAATCACGAGGCGCTTCACAAAAACAAAAACTATAAAAAATTGTAAAAATATAAAAAAACATTTTGAAAATGTTTAAAAATATATTTAAAATGAGCAAGAATAAGCAATTGCGATTTAAAAGAAAAAATGTTAAGAAAGAGAGAGAGTGAATAGGAAAGAGGGAAATCAGTGGATCCTGAGGAAGGTGAAATAGGTGGGGAGAGCCGAATAAAGAGAGAGTGGTGAAGAAGGTCATACAAAAGCCAGCTTGAACAAGTGAGTCTTCAGCTGCTTTTTGAAGGAGACCACTGAGTCCACTGATCTCAGGCTCAGGGGGAGAGAGGTCCAGAGTCTGGGGGCCACAGCAGCAGATGATCTGTCACCTTTGGTATTTAGCCTGGTACTGCACAACCAGTAGGCTTTTACCACTGGACCTCAGGGACCTGCTGGGGATGTAGGGACTAAGAAGATCACCAATGTAAGATGGTGCTTGTCCATGTAAGGCCCTATAGACCAGAACCAGGATCTTGAAATGAACCCTGGAGTTGACTGGCAGCCAGTGAAGCTGGAGGAGAAGCGGGGTGATGTGGGTGTGTTTGGATGAAATTCATCTCCGCATTTGACCCATCCCCATGGAGGGGAGTGGTGAGCTGCAGCTGTGGCTGCGCTCAGGAACTATTTGGTGGTTTTACCCCCAATCCAACCCCTTAAAGCTGAGTGTCAAGCAGGGAGACATTGGCTCCCATTTTTAAAGTCTTCTCCCAGTCCCAGGGCGTACACTCTTCCACCAGGCCACTGAGCTGGTGTGTTATTGCAGTACAAAAGGATCTAAACACTGATTAATCATGGTTAGTTCAGCTTTTCGGAATAGAAATATTTAAACAAACTCTGACAATAAAAACTGTAACAGCAAAGCTCATAGCAAAACAAAACAGCAGAGACAAAGACAATAAAGCATCATGGTATCCTAGGTGATAATATGTTAAAAAAAGTTCAGGAAAATATAGTGTGGAGAGCAAGAATCTAACAATGTATGTACAAGATGCATAGTTAACATAAATTAAACATAACCCCATCTTATTTAACACAACATATTCCATCTGATGGGTGTTTTCCCCCCAAATCTCCTGATTTTCCCACATTACTTCCATTGTTTTGTCAAGCTTACCCCATTCAAAAGATAAGAATCAAGGACCTCTGGGTAATCGACACTGAAATGTTTAAACAGCATTCCAGAGAATGTAAACACACATTTTCAGAGGGCCAAAAATAAACATGTAAGCATAAAATCCCCAAACCTATATTTGATTATTTAGGGAAAAGGAATCATCTTTCTCAAGGAACTGGTGTTATGCCAAAGAAAAAGCCACACAAAAAATACATTCTGGTCAGAATAAGCTGCTCCTACCTTACAAGCTGGTATTATGAGCTCGTAGAGAAGCTGTGTGTGTTAGCATGAAGCTCTCCGTACACTGCTGACTGCTGGCAGATGGCGATCTGCGTGGCGACCGTTGAAAACGATTTCGCCGATTGAAGTAGCTGCCAGCTGACCAGGACCTTTTGTGCTTCCTCAGGTACTCTTTGTAGTTTTTAGTGAGAAGTGTGTAGAGAAAAGGGTTTATACAGCTGTTGGAGTAAGTGAGGCATGTTGTCAGGTAGTTAATGTTGCGTTTAGCTTTGGTGGAGAGAGGCAATGAGGGGTAGAACTGTCCAAGCAGGTGCCAGATCCAAAAAGGCAGGAAGCATGCCCAGAAGAGGAGCACAATGGTGAAAATCAGGTACAGCACCTTTAAGGACAAAACACCAAAGACACGTATCAATACGAGTCAAATGACTTGCTGTACAGCGTTGTGGTTATTATGGTGAATATTTACAGTTATTAATCCAACGAGGTTCAGAAAAAGCAAAAATTCCCTCCTCACCTGAGGAGCTTTATCAAAATCAAAAAGTGCAAAGTAGCAAGCTGTAAGGCCCAATTTGTGAAAAACATGAGAGTCTTTAGCGCCACATAGTTCAGAGTAGATATTGCAAGTATGGTAGCCCACGTGCATCAAAAAGGCAACATGTCATGAAAGTTATTAGAAACTAACCGAGTACAATAACAGTGTACCAATTCTTGTCTTCTTCTTAGTTGGTTTGACACACTGCATGCTGTCAGGGCGTACTGCTGCCCCCTGCTGCTTCTTTCAGAGATGATCGTTTCAAAGCGCAAATGCAAAACGTGGAGCATCATATCTTGTATGTCCCTAAACAGCTACTGTATTTCAAAAAGGTGCATGAATATGCAGCGTCGACCACAGTTTATGAATATGAATATAAATGTCAAGCTAATAGAAATACTTAGAATAGACGTTGGTGAGAAAGGTCAAAAGTCAAGTTTACTCATATTTTTAATACATTTGCAGAGGTTTCTAGTAGGATTGAATACCTTGTAAGTAATTTTCTGGGAGAAAAGGTACTGAGGTTCCTGGTGGAAGATGTAAAATTCAGCCAGAGGAAAAAGTAGTTTAAAATGACAGAATTTGGAGGTTTTTTTTCCCTGATATTTGGGCATCTTGCCTCTGATTGGCTAACAGCAACACAGCTCTACCACTGACTCAGTTACTCTGCAACGTTGATGTTTAATCCCCACAAATAACACAAGCCTGAAGGAGTTCTGCTGTGTGGTGGAGTTGCTAATGCTAGCGGTTAGTGGAGTCATTTCTGCTGTTTCCTGAATGTGAAACTAACAACAGCCATCCCCATCATGAGCCATGCATGCTAAATGCTGACCATTTGATGTAGATTTGGTAAGTTTCTGTGAACTGAGCATTTTTCTGTCTATTTTCTATTAGACACTAATGCAGGAAATTGGGGAAGACTAGTTTCCCATTCAGCCTGAAAGGTAAACTGATAATTTTCAAAAAATATTGTGACTGGATACCCAGAATTTGATTGTTAACAAGTAAAACTTGTAAACACTGTGTTTTTAATGATTACACATTGTCCCTGCAGTTTAAAAACTAAGCCCTTTCATTTTAAAACGATAAAGCTCCCTGAATGAGTATTCAAGAAAACACGGAACAAGTTGCCTCTGTTTGAAGGTCTTAGAAAAACATATTGTTCGTAAGGACACCAACCTTTTGGTTAGGTAGTTTCTTGGTCTGCTTGAAGCTTTCCGTTTGTGAAATCCAGTAGGTGCGTGCTAGCTGGATGTACAGATAGCCAATGATCAGTCCTGGAGCAACAATGCTTGTGCAAAACAGGAATGAGATGTAAATCTTGTAGGACAGTGGTGATAAAGTTGGCTGACACATAGCCTTGGTGCCCATTGTCATTAGTTGGATGCTCACAATCATTGGTAAGGTAAGAATTAGAGAGGCTGCCCAGACCAGCAGCGCAATAGCCTTCCGATAACTTTTTGATCGCTTGACTGTGTCAAGCGGCTTGAGAACTGCAAAGTAACGCTCTGTGCTCATGATGGTCAGTGTGAAGATGCTGGCGTGCATCGTCAGAAAGTCAATGCTGAAAAGTATTCGACATCCTGTATCTCCAAAGTACCACCCCTTTAAGAAGTACGTGCAAACCACAAACGGGATAGTGAGAAGATAAAGTAGATCAGCCAGTGCGAGATTAATTATGTAGATGTACATCGAGGCTGCAGTCCTCATGGAGTGGCACATGACTACCAGGGTGTAGATGTTCCCTGAGACTCCAACGAGGCACATGATGGAGAGGATGGTTCCTATGGTAAAGGTAGCAGCTGCATCCTGATGTGAGCTCAGAGGTGGGACGGTTGCATTGGTGCTCCTGTCCACCAAAACTCCAACGGGCTCCATGGACACTGTTGTCATGCCTGGGTAGTTGGGAAAAACACAGATATTCACCTCTAATAAAAAAAAAAGGACCTTTGAAGAATCCAATAAAGTGTGTGATTCACTGGGCTATGGCGACACATTGCTAACAGCGCAGGAGTTTCCTGAATGTCTCAAAAGGGTTATCAGTTGCCTTGCGTGAGTCGTGGGGCCACGCTTTCATGTAACAGAGTGTTTAACCATTAGTTTTCTACCATAATATTTGTAGAGTGGTTTCATGTGTCCCTTCTCATTTTTTTTTCATTTCTCAAGGGTTTGGCAAAAAAGTTGAAAATAAAATAAGGACAACTAAATTGCAGCAAGAAAATGTGATGAAACATCTAAAATCTGTTAGTCAAGTACTAGATTCATTTGAATTCAATGCAAATCTTCCTGTTAGACTTGTCATTTAGAAAACTTAAATGACTAATATTATGTTTCTATAGCTGATGACCCAACATTTTTACGGTTTTTCATTTTGAGGAAATTAAGAGTGCCCAGTTAGCTTACACACTTCAGAGAGAAGTTCTAAAAATAGCTCAGAACTCATGCAAATTTAGTAGACTCTTTGAAGAATATACAGTAATGCCCATTGGCATAGATGCCCGTCCTTGAAGGATCTCAAAGGTTTTCCATTAATCCTGCCATAAAAATGACAAAGACAATTTGCAGCTTATGAATTTCAAGTAAATATCTGAGTATGTTGGAAGCGTCTCCAAGGCCTTTCAATAAACTGTGACCCATAGAACGTCCATGTTTGAGTAAAACTGAAGCACAGCATTTGTATCAGCATCACCAAAGGTATGACATCGTCATTGTGAATCTCGGTAGTTAGATCTCACAGAGATTAAGAGCTAGAGGTCTCACTAATAATGCAAGTGCCAAATGGATTTTCTCTGTCGCATAATTCTCCCTTTGGTGAGACCCTGTGGAGCTGTCACAACCAAGACAGGAGTCATTACAGAGTCATTCACCTCGTGACTGATGTAACTCCAAACAAATGTCAGTCTAACTTAATGTTACCCTTTAGGTGCCAGTATCAGACCTGTCTCGTGCGGTTAGTAAATGCACGTAAAGACATTTCACTAATTTTCCTGCAATTTGACATAAACTTAATTGCATTTTCTCTTACCTGGGTTACTTCTTGGACAAAAGATTCAAGACTCAGTCAACTGAGGTTCCATCTGCCCTGCTTTATTTAACTTTGGTCCTCTCAACATGCATTCAAAGCAAAAATCTCCATAAAAAAAGTTAGCACATTTCCAGTCAAGCAACTCAGAGAAGAAATATGCAGGTGGAAAAAAAGGATTGCAGCAGTCTTCAGGTGGAGAAATAACCTAAATGAGTCATATATCACAACCAATGCCACTCCATTGTTTGATTAGTCAGTCAAAAATCCATTCATTCAAAGTTCTCTTCAATTCCTCCGCACCTCTAGAGCATCCAAACACTTGATTGTCAGCTGTGACATCGGCAGCAACAGAATCCAATTTCAAGAAGAAAAAAAATTAACACGAGAAACAAAGCCTCAGAGTACTGATGGTAAAAGGGGATTACAGTTAGCTACGGCTGCTTTCTGACAATCCCGTCTTTGACTGAGGAAGAGTAACGGTGAGCGGGAGTGAGTGTGTCAGAGGTAGAGAGGGGAGAGAGGGAGAGAACATGCTGCTAGTCAGGCACTCACTCCGAAAGCCCAAGTGGGAGGGGAGGGAAGGGGAGCAGGGGAGGGTGGGTTGAGAAGGAACCAGCAGCAGAGAGAGGTATGCAGGAAATGTGTTCTGCTCCCTCTCCAGCCCCTGTGCCATCTATTTCCATACAACAGGGAGAGTGTGCCACGCACTGATGTGCGAAGGGATTTAAGTCAGTTTGGTCACTGACAGAAGAACCTGCTGACTCACAAAGATGTTCGTACAGGACATAAATCTATGACTGAAAATGCAGCCTGCAGTCACCGTTCTTATTGTTTTAACGCACACCACCAGGGTCAATGTCATCTTCCACTAGAGCAATTTTCTCAGGCAAAGTAATCAAACATCTGCTGCAGAGGTCCTCAGATGCTGCTGCACTTGATGTTCAGGTTAAGAGCCAACATCATTAATCTGCTTTATATGTAATGACAAAAAGCTGATGTCCTCAGCTTAGATATGTCGAGTTAAACTGGAAATAAATATAAACTCATTGATTATTTGTCCAAAGGAGACTGAACGGTGAGTCTATTTGTATTTGTCCTGTGAAAGCTCCATCTCAGCAGAGTTTGTGGAAATCCTTCCTATTTAGGAACAAACATCAAACCAGATGGCATTTTCTCCTTTTAATCATGTTAAAAGTTAAAGACCTAATTACATCCCAAAGCCAGACGGCATCAAATCAACAATGTTAAAAATGACTGTGTTCTATCCAATAACTCCACAGCCTTAGAGGGACTTTAACAGAGTTGGGAATGTTCCATTTCTACAAACTAGTTCAGAGTTCAGTTCACACATTTTAAAACCAACTAGTTCATTGTTCCTATTTTTGATATTTGAATGTTTAAATGAGGATTTATTAAACCATCTGAGGATGTAGCTCAGAGTTTAATGTTCAAAGTGAAAAGATTTTTAATCTGACTTTGAGGTTCAAGACGGCGTTTGTCATAGCAGCAGCAGCGTTGGTGGAAATGTACAAGACACACCTGTGAGGGTGCATCGAAAATCAATGTTACTTGTAGTTGGGGTTTTTTTGTTGTTGTTTTTTTTTTTTACTAATAAATGCAGTTCTGATGGTGTCTCAAACTTTATTGTGTAACAGAGGGAAATGACTGTTTTTTCCCTTCCTCGACACAAGACTAGTCTGCATGAGATATGGTCTCAAGGTCTCATGCATTTGCTTCTAACCTGCTTATTTTCAGCTCAACAGAAGAATGAAGAATGGACTCTTTTCTTTTAATTAATCAAATAACTATTTTAATAAAGCTAATCCAACCAGGTGTTAGTCAATAAATAAGATGTGACCGATCTGTGAAATCAAAATATTAATTACTTTATTATAATCCTTTAGAATATAAAGGTACTATGACTTGAAATGTTCCAGTAGGACTGATTTCACGTAGCGTTAAAAGACATAACAAATTGCTTTCACTGATCCAGTCAGAATCTGACAGATCTGACGGAGGCGTGGTTTGATGGTGTTTGGTAAAATCTGTCAACTTTTCATTCGACCATAAACCAAAACATCCGAAGTATAAAACCATGCCCACGTCATCTTTAACGCCAGTTCAAAGCGTTCCAGAGAAGTTGTCGGAGTGGCCAATCCGTAACTCTCCTCTTTAACCGAAAGAACCAATGACAAGCTGGAAAATTTGTTGCTGTTCAAACTGCTGCAACAGTTCCTTTCAGAATAAAAGCTGAACCATCAAGACCCAGGCTTGGGTCTCACCAGACACTAATAAAATTGTTGTGACCCGGAAGTATCTCGAGATGGGTGGTCGGTTGCCGTGGCTTCTTCTACATGCTCCGGCTCCATAAGGTCAAGCTGGACCTTTAAACCTCCTGATCTAGACGGGGACTTCCGCTCAGGGTATGTAGACCGACAAAAATGGCGTCGAATGTGTTTATGAATCTCCTAACCAAAGCTCAACGCGAAGACATAACCTTCAGGTCCCATCAGAACTAATCGCAGCTTCGGATTTGCCGGTTCTGATCAACATCACACGTCATCGACTCACCGTCTCATCCACTTTAGTTACACCCATGGACGTAATTTTCACTTTAGAAGTGGGGGGGACATGGGGGGTAGGGTGGGGGTGGGGGGGGGGGGGTTGTGGGGGGGGGGGATTTTTACAGTATGCTCTAATGGGAAACAGGCTTCAACATAAACGGTTGTTTTCCGCTTGGTCCTAGAGCTCAACCAGTGTCAATTTAATATAGCGTAATATTGTTTTCGGATGGTAAAAAGTGCAGGGGTCAAAACTTGACTTCGGAAAAAGTGGGGGGGACATGTCCCCCCTGTCCCCCCCCCCAAAATTACGTCCATGGTTACACCATACATTTAGTGCTTAAAGTCAGTCTAGTTTAATTTGTTAGTAATAAAATTCTTAACTTTTCAACTTGACTCTCTCTCTTCTGTTGTCTCTGAGTGAATACGAAGCTGTTATCTAATCCCTGCATTAAAAAGTTCCAATCTTCTGGTTTAAGTAACCTCACAGATCCGTAAGGTGGATTTCATATTTCCTATGGAATCCTACGCCTTATGGCTTACTAAATAGCATGTAATTTGGTTCCAGGTGCGATGAGCTCCTGGTGATGCTTTCAGCTAATCTCACGCAGACAAAGTGGAGTAAAAGTTGGAGGTGACAAAGCTTCCCTGCAAACAAAGAATATTTCTCCAGTCTTTCATGTCAAGAAATTCCCTTTAAGTTGCAGCCAATAAAAAAGCTTCATTCTAGTCTACTAAATAAGTTGTTGGTAATTGTGGTACCGAGGGTACTTGTCAGGATAACCCTCATGCGCTCCGGAGGAAAAAGTGATACTGCAGAGGCCGATGTCCAGTGTGGACCCAAGTGGATTTATTTACATTTTTTACAAATTAAAAACTAGGCAGCAAAAATCCATGCATGCCACTCCATCCATCTCTTAACCCTCTGCAACAAACAGAGCTGTATTTATAACAGGTGTGACTAATTGGACTAATCCTAAAACCAGACACAGGTAAGTACAAAAATACAATCTTTCAATATTCTTAAATGATCCTTAAATCATCATCTATAAGATTTCTTTAATAAATTACAATACAAAAATAGAAATATCCTTAATCAATCCTAAAATCATTCAATGAAACTAATCTGCATTCCTAGAGCACTTTCATAGGTCATCCCTCCTATTCATCCTGAATGGAATGCTCTGGAACCTTCTTTTGGTGCTCCAGCTCCCTGGGGTCTCCTTTAGCTGGAACACCTCCAGAAGCACAACGGAAACAGCTAAGTACAAACATTCAATCATTTACCATTTTAAATCTTCAGTACTCATACCAACTCTTCTTCTTACAGGTCTAAACTCTTCACCCTTTTAAAATAAACATTAAAACAATTGTTATTGTGTCTGGTTTCATTTATCCTACAAAACCCTGTGTAATGGACTTGCTACCTTACGGTTAAGTTGTTGGACACCTGTCTAAACCCAACAGAGATCTATTCATGTTACTGAAACCAAAACTAATGGAAATAAAAAAACCTTATTAACAAAAACTCAGGATGGAAGCTGGAGGACGCTGGAGAAGGCCTGCAGAGTTGTTTTGAGATGACAGATTGGATGACTCTCTGCCAAGGATATGAGGAGGACATCAATGCCATGACTGGATGTGTCACTGACTATATAAACTTCTGTGTGGCCCACATCATACCCACCAGAACAGTGAGATGCTTCGCTAATAAAAAACCCTGGTTCACCAGTGAACTGAAGAATCTGCTAAATGAGAAAAAAAGAGCCTTCAAGGAGGGAGACAGGAAATTATTGTGTATACAGAAGCAACTGAAGATCAAGATCAGAGACAGCAAGGAGGCATACAGGAAGAAGCTGGAGAACAAACTACAGAGGAACAATATCAGAGATGTCTAGTCAGGGATGAAGAAGAGCACAGGCTTCATGCAGAGGAAGGATTGCACAGATGGCAGCCTGGACACAGCCAATGAACTGAACAAGTTCTTCAATAGGTTCAGTTCAGGAACAAACCCAGCATCCTCCTCGCCTGTCCCCAGCCAATCAGACATCCCATCCTCCTCTGATCCAACATTTTCCTGTCACACGCCAGCTCTTTTGTCCTCTAACGCAGTCATGGACTCTTCTGGTTCTATAAATCTGTCTTCAACCAAGTCAGGAGATGCTGCTGCCCCATTTACCTCCCCCTCCGACTGATCTGTCTCTAGACATCAGGTGAAGAGGCAGCTGGAGAGACTGAACTGGAACAAGGCTGCAGGTCCAGATGGTGTCAGCCCCAGAGTACTGAAGGCCTGTGCAGAGCAGCTCTGTGGGATTCTGCAGCACCTTTTCAACCTCAGCCTGGCCCAGGAGAATGCTCCAGTCCTGTGGAAGACATCCTGCCTTGTTCCGGTTCCAAAGAAAACTCGCCCATGAGTCAATGACGACTACAGACTGGTTGCCCTGACATCCCACATCATGAAGGTCCTGGAGAGACTCCTGTTGGTCCACCTGAATAAGCAAACTAGAACATATCAGGACCCACTGCAGTTTGCTTATCGCCATGGAGTTGAAGTTGAAGATGCCATCATCCAGCTGCTTCAACCAATCCACTGTCATCTGGACAAAGCAGGCAGCACTGTCTGGGACATGTTCTTTGATTTCTCCAGTGCATTTAACACAATCCAGCCTGATGTACTTTGCCAGAAATTCCAGAAGACACAGGTGGGGGCCTCAACTATCACCTGGATTAAAGACTACCTGACAAACAGACCACAGTTTGTGAGGCTGAAGAACTGCACATCCAACCAGGCGATCAGTAACATTGGAGCACCACAGGGGACTGTACTCTCACCATTCCTTTTCACCCTGTACACCTCAGACTTCCAGTACAAATCAGAGACCTGTCATCTACAGAAATACTCCGATGACTCTGCAGTTGTCGGGTGTATCAGAGATGGACAGGAAGCTGAGTACAGAGAGATGGTGGAGCGCTTTGTG